AATGAGGGAGCAAACAAAGGACTTATATGAGAGAATTGAAAACTTAGAAAATCAAGGGAATCATGATGATAATGGACATAGAGGGAGGGATGAAAGAAGGAGAAGAAGAGATAATGAGAATGTTGCTAGAGAGGACATAATTGAAGAGTGAAGCTTAATATACCATATTTTAAAGGAAAAAGTGATCCGGAGGCCTATTTGGATTGGGAAATGAAGATTGAGCATTTATTTTCATGTCACAACTATACTGAAGAAAAGAAAATGAAGGTGGCAGCCATGGAGTTTAGTGATTATGCTCTCATTTGGTGGGACCAATTGCAAAAGGAGAGGGTAAGATATGAAGAATCATTGGTGGATAGTTGGGTGGAGATGAAAAGGCTAATGAGAAGAAGATTTGTTCCTTCCCATTATCATAGAGACCTTCACAATAAACTTCAACGGCTTACACAAGGTAACAAGAGTGTAGATGAGTATTATAAAGAGATGGAGGTTTCCTTGATTAGAGAAAATGTTAGTGAAGAACGAGAGGCTACTATGGCACGTTTCTTGCATGGACTGAATAGTGACATAAGGGATGTTGTGGAGTTGCAAAATTATATGGAGTTGGAGGATTTAGTGCATCAAGCTAGTAAGGTAGAACAACAACTCAAGAGAAAGGGTGTCATGAGGAAAAACTCTTCTAATTTTAATTCTTCAAGTTGGAAGGACAGAAATAAGAAGGAGGGAGGTACTTCATCAAGCAACCCCACTGCTGCACCTCAAAGGACTCAAATTAAGTCCAATGAGACCCCTAAGAAGACAAGGAATAGTGAAATAAAATGTTTCAAGTGTTTGGGAAGAGGTCACATAGCTTCAGATTGTCCAACTAAGAAGACTATGTTACTTAAAGAGGATGGAGAGTTTACTAGTGAGTCTTCTTCAGATTCTGCCTCACTTGATGAAGAAGATGAATATATTGGAGAAATAATACCAGAAGGAGATTTGTTTATGGTAAGAAGGATGTTGGGTAGCCAAGCAAAAGACCTGGATGATAGTCAAAGGGAGAATATTTTTCATACTAGATGCCTTATCCAAGGAAAGGTATGCTCTTTAATTATTGATGGAGGGAGTTGTACCAATGTTGCAAGTGCTAGAATGGTGTCAAAATTGGGTTTGGAAACCAAACCTCACCCGTTGCCATACAAGCTTCAATGGCTTAGTGAGGATGGTGAAGTGACTGTAAGCAAACAAGTTGATGTGAACTTCTCCATAGGAAAGTATGAGGATACAGTTTTATGTGATGTGGTACCAATGGAGGCTTGTCATTTGCTTCTAGGGAGACCTTGGCAATATGATAAGAAAGTTATTCATGATGGTTACACCAACAAATTCTCTTTTGTGCATAAAGAACGCAAGACTATTCTTGCACCTTTGACTCCAATAGAAGTTAGTGAGGATCATTTGAAAATGAGAGATAAAAGAAAGCAAGAGAGAAAAGAAAGTGGAGAGAAAAAGGGGAAAGAGAGTGGAAGAGAGCAAGAAAAAAGATGCAGAATAAAAAGATAACCTTTTTTTGGTGAGAGACTAGCTTCTCTAGGGTTGTTTTGAGAATCTCAGAACTTATCAAGGGTGCTAATCCTTGTGGCGTTCATAGGCTTATCAATCTTTGGATTATGGCGCCTTCTAGTTATCATTTCTTGATTGTGTTCACAAATTCTTGTATCAAACCCTATCACCCAAACCTTCAATTTTCGTCCAAAATAGTCTCGGTTCATATCTCCTGATATACGCGTCGGTTTTCGGTGATTCTTGAGTCAAAGTCGCGATTCAGAAAGAGATCTTTCACCTCGATTTGGAAACGTCCGATTCTGAGGTCTGTAGCGTGAGATACACTCTGTTCTTAACAGGTCATGTTGGTGGATGAATTTGGGGTTAGAATTTCCTATTGGGGATCATATCAGGCAATCTTTTTGTTCTACTGTGTGATAAGGTTCAGCAAGTGTTGGGTTGTCGATCGGTTATCATGATGCACGGAAAGTGGTGGCATGTCTCCTTCCGCTATCCTTTGGAGCCGTTCTGGAATTTGCTTCTGGTATCAACCATGTTTTTAAGTTGGAATGAAATGGGTTCTATAAGATAGATCCCCACAAACGGTGCCATTGATCAGACCAAATACAATATGGGCTGGCCAAAGTATATCGGGCCTAATTACACACGGTTGATGAAGATGTTCTGTTTCTTGGGCTAGGGGTTGTTGATGATGATAAGTGTGCTCTGGATCTATGTTGGCGCGATAGTTGAGACTAGATGGGAGTACCTGCAATGACACTTTGATGCTTAAGTCAGTATCGGTTGCAAGTGTATGTGAATTCTTACTGAATTAGATTATCATACCTGGGCATGTACCTCTGTTTATATAGCAGTTCTGTTGCCGCCTTCAGAAGGTTGTATGGCCTCTAATTGGCCATTCATGGGCTGCAAGTTTGGCTATAACCTTATCTCCTAATGCCAGGCTATCTTGATAGAGTAGCGACAAGCTGGTACTGTCCTCTGTTTATTAGTACAAAGGCGCGGTGGGTTCGTATTAGTTCTTAAGATAGCTTTCTTACCTCTGAAGTTTATGCCAAAGGGCGGTTTCATGCGCGATGGTGGCCATCGCGCTTAGTTCTGGGCCCTTGTGAGATTGGGCTCCGTTGTATGTCTTTGGGCCTTTAATGAGCCTACTATATTTTATCCAGATCACTAGCATTAATGGAGGAACACCACCCAACACTTAGGCCACAAGGAACCTATCATTGATTGGCAACTAGAAGCAAAGCAGGCATACGATACAAAAGAGGTTAGTGGAGGAAATACGTGCAAGAGTGGGTTTCACACGAATTGTGAATACTGCCAATTACGAAGAGAAAGTGAAGGTGACAAAAACAGGTGTGGTTCAAGAATTGAAGGGAAAAGATAAATAGGTGCAATAGTGGGGTTCACACAAACTGTGAATACTGCCAATTACGTACGAAGAGAAAGTGAAGGTGATAAAAACAGGTGTGGTTCAAGAATTGAAGGGAAAAGATAAATAGATTGCAGGAGAGCACCTGGAAAAGGCAAAAACAACGAATGAAGAAAAGGACTCTTCGCTACGATGAATGAATTATTTTCGTAAGAATCACGTGTGTGATGAAAGACAAAAATTAAGAACGGATATATTTATAAGTGAAAATAAATAATAGAAATTAACTTTTTAAAAGTTTTGAATAAGAATAAATTTAAAAAATCATAAAAATAAGGGTGCTATTAGCGGTCGAATAACCCCACTCATAATTCACAACAGTAAAATGTGAAATTATCATGGATGAATCTTTTTTTTTCCCGAACTTTTTGATTTAAAAAAATTTACATTTCAATTAAGTTAATTTTAATAGGCACGCAATATTTCATGCCTTGAAGTGGAATCAAATATTGCACTGACAAAAAAAAAGCCTCATTAATTTATTGGTGGAATCAATCTTGATACGTGTTACAAATATATATTATAAAAATTATTCAAGACCTATCGCATATTAGTTTAAGTTTTTAGGTTAAATTTATAATTTGCATAGTATGTGATTACGGGGTCACGAGCAATGTTGTCAAAATTAAATTTCTACATAGAAATGAAAGGAGATAGTAAAAACGTAAATCGTAGAAACGACACGAAATGTAAAATTTTTACTACTTAAGGTCAAGGTACAAATATATATATATATATATATATATATATATATATATATATATATATATATATATATATATTATATAAAATCACATAAGTCATTACTCAAAATTCAATGAAAATTCAATGAATAACTTCATATTTAAAAAATATAAGTCACCTAACTATATAAGACAAGTTCCAAAATATATGCATAAAAAAGAGTTTAACAACTCCCGCAAACAAGTTCCAAAATATCAAAAGAATAAAGTTTAATAACTTCTAAATTATATCAATTAATTCAAATCAAACACATCATCTTGCATCAGTTGTATGTCCTCAATGTCCTTTTCTCTTGCTCCTATAACAAGTTCATTTGCAATAAAACATAATAGATTTATTCAAAATCCACCTCACCTTAGTACTTTAACTTTTCACCAATGGATTCACCCTCTTCTTTCTCTACAATAGCGACCTCATGCGAGAATTTTTTTCAAATAACTAGAAAAGGATACTATGCATTTTGATTTGGGAAAAATGGAAATAGATTTTTTTTATTATTTTTTTAAAAAAAAACGGAGTCATGGATTTAAAGTTGACCCGATTCATTTTTATTTTTTTTGGTATAAAACTCTGTTCAGTTATTTGGTTTAAATAAAAACGTAGAAACTTACGTTTTTATTGTTTTTACGTTTTTGCACGGAGTTTTTACCAACTTTTACTGAGGAGAGTTTTTGCTTGCGTTTTAACACGTATCACTTCAATAAAAACGTAAAAATGTAAGTTTTTACGTTTTTACACTAGTTTTTGACAACAATAGTCACGAGTTCGCTTTTCACTGTCGCCATTTTTTAGTGGATTTAAGTTAGCACAAGTATGAGTCTGTGCAGCAAAATGTAGAATAAAAAAATTGGTCTATGCAATATCTACGCTTCAAGCACAAAGATCTCTTGCGTGAGGGAGAGTGCGAGAAATATAAAAATCATTAATGGACCTTTACTTAAAGGCTTTTGGATTAAATTAATTCTTTGCGGTACAAACCAGGAAAAGTGCATATAATTATTTTTATGGATTTGATATTTCTTATGTTGTAGGAGAAAATTTAACTCCTTCATATACACAAAAGTATGTGAATCCCATGTGGAGCCATGTAAGAGAATTAGAAAAGAGAAAAAATAAAGTAAATATCAGTCTCACATATTTTTATGTGTGTCTAGGGGATAATTCTATCCCCTACAACATGTGACTTTTTTATGTTGAATTTCCCATTTGCTTGGAAAAACTTCTTTAAATATAAGCACACATTAAGTTCTTCCCCACTGAAAGCCCTAATGTGAAAAGATTAGTTTATGAGCCATTTAGTGTACCCATTATAATTGGAAACAAAGGTGATCCATCATAACCCTGAAAAGTAAACTATGCCAGTTTCAGTAACTTCAACACTAGTTGCTCCAACCACTAACGCTACCTCCGATTTCTCTCGACGTTCGGCAAATTATCATCCTACTGTTTGGGGAGATCATTTTATCCAGTATGGTGTGGAACCTAAGGTAAAATGACTTTATTCTTACCAAGATTTACATATGCAATATGCATATACATAATTCTATCATTCTCGTGATCTAACGGCCATAATCATATTTTGTATTTTGTATATGTAGATCAAGTGTCTTTTGAATAACTTTGACTTTATGATCAATTTTTTGATTTTCTCCGTTATTTTATAAAAATTTACTCTCATTACTAACATAACAAAAGTTTAACGTGCAGGAAGTGGATGAAATAATGGAGAAGCAAATTATAATACTAAAAGAAAAAATAAGACAGAAGCTAGTCCCTGGGAATGAGAAGGCCTTAAGTCCCTTGATGGAAGCTACCTTTATTGATTCAATCCAACGTTTGGGATTACACTATCATTTTGAACATGAGATTGGTGAAGTGTTGCAACATATTCACAATACTTACGTTGAAAATGGCATAATAACTCTCAATAAAGACCTCTGTTCTCTTGCCCTTGTCTTTAGGTTACTGAGGCAACAAGGATATCACATTTCGCCTGGTATGCCCACCCTATATACTTTTATTACATTTTAATTGTAGAAAATTATTAAAGTATGGAAAAAAATGTGTGTCATTTTAAAGTATATAAAGTTGTGTCATTTTGAGTGAGAGAAAGAGATAGATCAAGGGGATAGAGAGTGGACCAAAAAAAAATAAAGGAGTGGGTATATACAACCCCTTTGTGAGAGTAAAATGAAACAAGTTGTATCATTTAGAAGGACAAACATTTTTCCCTTAGGGCATGTTTGGTACACAATATAGGATAATGCCTGATAGTATAAAACTTGATAGTATAAGGTCTGATTGTATAAGAGCTGATTAAATTTTAATACTATCCAGCGTTTGACAGTATATTGTATAAGATAATATATTGTATAAAATAATATCATCCAATATTTGATAATGCACTGTATAATACTAAATAGGATAAAAATAAATATTTTTGACAAAAATACCTTTTAATAATGAATTTATGTAATTCTTCCAAATATATCAGATGATATTAATTTTTATAGAAATCTGTTGATCAGTGTATCCAAAAAGTATATTAATTTTTATAAAAATAAAAATCTCCAATATTTCAAAAATTTATATATTGAAAAATTATTTTTTATTTTAATATATTAGTATTGAAAATTGCATTGGTTAATACATCAATCCCTTATCAAGCCTAATCTTATCCTCCTAGACCTGATTAAGTTATACATCATTTTGATGTAAAAAAAGATTCTGCTGTATAAACTTATACTATACAATAATGGTCACATCAAACAACTAAAAATATTATAATGTATAGTATAAATTTATACTATCAGGTTTCGTACATCACACTGACATGCCTTAATGTATTAGCTAGAACTTCGTGATCAAAGTTGGTCACAAATTTGATTTCTACACAACTAAATACAGCAAAGTTTCTTAACACTAATATGTAAGTGTTTGCATTGTTCATCCTTCAATTTCAAAGACATACAAAAAATTATGTATCTTATGGTTGGAGAATAAATCTCAGATGTTTTCAAGAAGTTCAAGAATGAGGAAGGAAACTTCAATGAAACAGTTACTGCTGATGTTGAGGGAATGCTAAGCTTGTACGAAGCTGCACATCTCAGGATTCACGGAGAAGACATATGCGATGAAGCACTTGCTTTCACTACCTCACATCTTGAGTTAATGACCACAGAATCGAGTCCTTCTCTTGCTGCAAAAGTCAATCATGCCTTAAAACGACCACTCCGCAAGAACCTGCCAAGGCTAGTGGCAAGGCATTACATTTCTACGTATGAGGAAGACCCTTTCCATGATGAAACTTTGTTACTATTTGCCAAATCGGATTTTAATATGCTCCAAAAAACACACCAGAAGGAACTTGGCAGTATTTCACTGTAGGTTTCTCAACGACATCACGAAAATAAATAATAAGAAAACATTAATTTTTTTCAACATGCAAGTAGCTAGTCACTCATGTTTTGGTTATTGTAATTGGTCATCCTTAATGAATTAGGTGGTGGAAAGATTTGGATTTTGCAACAAAACTGCCTTTTGCACGCAATAGGATTGTGGAAGCTTACTTCTGGATATTGGGAGTGTTTTTTGAGCCCCAATACTCTCTCGGTAGAAGGCTAATGACCAAGGTGATATCTATGACATCAGTAATGGATGATATATATGATGTCTACGGTACTTTTGAAGAGCTACAACTTTTCACCGAAGCAATAGACAGGTTTGGGGTTTTGAATTAGGATTCCTTTTTTTTCATTTTGCAGGAATTTTTGCAAAAAATAAAATAAAATTACTATGTACTAGAGGTAGTAAGAGCCGGCAAAACGGGCTCGACTCGGCGGGCTAACCCGTCAAACGAGATGGGACAGACTGATTTTTTCAACCCATCTCAAAAGCGGAGCGGGGCGGGACAGACTCATTTTTTGGTGGGTTGATAGCTGACATAGGCGGGCCGAGGCGGGTCAGTGTAAAATAGGCTCGGGCTGGCGAGTCAACCCGCCAAACGGGGCGGGGCAAGCTGAGTTTTTCAACCCACTTTCAAAAGCGGGGCGGGATGAGCTGGCTCATTTTTTGGCGGGTTGATGGCGGGGCGGGGCGGGGCGTCCACTTTACCACCTCTACAGTAGTACATAATTATAAGTTGTGTGAATTTTTTTTTTTTAATATTATAACTATATACTACTCGTAATACATAATTATTTTTTTTCAGGAATTTATAACTATATACTACCCATAGTGTACATGTTTTGTTGTTGCAGGAATTCCTACAACATAAGTATTGTTTTTGCCTTTGAATTAACTACGAAATGATCACTTTTATTTCCTAACTGAATTATAGTTCTAGGGAGAAAGCTGTTAACATTTTGATAACCTTTTCATAATTAATGCACATTTTAGGTGGGATATCCGCTGCCTGGATTTTGTGCCAGAATACTTGAAATTTTACTACCAAGCACTCTTGGATGTTTATAAAGAAATTGAACAAGAGATGGCCAAGGAAGGAAGAGCATTCTGTGTAATCTATGCAAAAAATGAAGTAAAATTCTGGTTCTGTTTGCCCTTTTTCCAAGTGTTCTCTTCATTTTAATAGGATTTAAGTAGGAACTAGGATATTTAAGACATGATCTCTGTCTTCAAATGTATCTAACTCAGTTAATCTTGTAAATTATTGCGGTGTCCATACCAGATGAAAAGATTGGCCCAAGCCTACTTTGCTGAGGCTAAATGGTTAAGTAGCAATTATATTCCGTCAATGGAAGAGTATATGGATGTTGCACTAGTAAGTTGTGGTTACCATATGCTCATAGCCACAGCCTTCATAGGGATGGGAGATATTGCTACAGAAAAGGCCTTCCAATGGTTAACCAATGACCCTAAAATTGTTAATGCTTCAAAAATTATTTGCAGACTCATGGATGATATTGTTTCCAACGAGGTAATTAATTAATCCCAAGATTTAATTTCCTTCATATATATTCTAAACAACATGTTCGATAGTTTCTTCCCTTCATTTTGTTTTAGTTTGAGCAGAAGAGAGGGCATGTTGCCTCTGCTCTTGAGTGCTACATGAAACAACATGGTGTCACAATACAAGATGCCATTGACGAATTATATAGACAAGTGACGAGTGCTTGGAAGGATATCAATGAGGAATTGCTTGACCCTGCAGAAATGCCAAAGCCTCTTCTAATGGTAGTTCTCAACCTGTCACGTGTAATTGATGTGTTTTACAAAGAAGGAGATGGTTACACTCACTCTAAAGGATCAACAAAGAACCAGATTGCAGATATCCTCTTGAATCCATTGGCAGTATGAGAATAAGGAGCTCGCTTCTTCAACTGTATTATAAACAGTTATTGCAATATATGTTGTATTGGAAAAAGGTTTGTGGTTTTAAAGGACGGGGCAGATTATATTTACAAATTTTTTTGTTTACAAATTCTTACAAACTACACTATCTTCTCCCGTGAGAACACTAATCACATTATCTTCTTCCTGGGAGAACATAATGCAATTTGCATAAGTTTGTAAACGGATCCTTCCCTTTAAAAGATTGTGTTATTTTAGTTTTGGAGGTTTTTGGTTGAAATGGTTCTTTATATGGTATCAAAGCTTCAATGACCATGAGGTCACGAGTTCGATTTCACTGCCCCACTTTCAAGGTGGAATTAAGAAAAGCACAAGGCAGATCAAAAAATGGACTTATGCAGCATAAGAATAAAATGAAAAGTATTAAAAAGACCCTCACCTAACACCTTAACGTTTTAGGTTGAAATGGTTCTTTACATAACACTATATATTACATATAGTACATAGTTGTAATATGAAAGGAAAAAAAAATCTCTCTCCTCAGTCACTTTAGTTGACGTGGAGAGAGAAAAAAATAATTTTTCATATTATAAATATGTACTATCTGTAATATATGGTATAAAAAACTAAAATGATATAAATTGTATCCTTTAAAACAACACAGGCTGACCAATGTGGTATTGAGTGTTTTGGAATCAGGAAGAGTGATGAGTTTGTAAAATGATAATAAATTATAGAGTAAATACATTTTTCGGTTCTCAGCAAATTTTATGATGCCCGTTTTAGTCCTTAGCAAAAAAAAAAAAAACTATTCGTGATTCCTAAAAAATTCAAAATGGACCCATTTTAGTTCCTTTGAGGGGACTAATGCGGATCTTTTTTGAATTTGTGAGGGAACACGATTTTAACTAAATGGGTCCATTTTGAATTTTTTAGGAACCACGAATAGCCTTTTTATTTGTTAGGGACTAAAGCGGGCATCGTGAAATTTGGTGAGAACCAAAAAGAATATTTATCTAAATTATGTTTTAAATAATGAATAGTATGCTATTGTTCTGTAGTCTGTACCGTTAGTTCACAACGTGCTTAATATTAGTTGAGGAGACTCCCCCTCATAATTTTAATTTTGGGCCACGCGATTTGGAGAGTCATTTTCAGAATCTTATAGCACAACTGTACAAGTGTGCTTTCCTTCAAATTTTTTGTTTTTGTTTTTGTCGTGATGGTGAACATTCATTTAATACACTTTTAGTTCTTTCAATTTTATATTTAAAACTATTTTGATCCCTAAAAATACCATTGGAGCTCTTTTTACATATAACAAAGACATTTTGTTTAGGGAAAAAAGATGGCTTATTAATCATCAGTTTATAATATTTACCAAATTATTTTTCATTAAAATTATAATGGGGGCTTGTTGGTGCACAAATGGGGACCCAATTGGAGATTCTATCATAAGAGCTTCAGCAACAAGGAACCTATCATTTGTTCTGTTGGCCTCTAGAAGCAGAACAGATAGCCATACAATACAAAAGAGGTTAGTGGAGGAAATAGATGCAATTGTGGAGTTCACACGAACTGTGATTACTGCCAATTGTGAAGAGGAAGTGAAAAAGGTGATAAGAATATGTGTGGTTCAAGAATTTAAGGGAAAAGTCATGGAGGAAAAGTTAAATAGATTGCATGAGTTCACATGACAAAGGCAAAAACAAAAAATGGTGAAGTAAAGGAGTCTTCGATTAAGATGAATGAATTATTTTCGTAAGAATCACGTGTGTGATAAGACAAAATTTAAGAAGAGTGATTTTAAAAATTAAAATAAATAACAAAAATTAACTTTTTAAAAGTTTTGAATAAGAATAAGTTTTAAAAATCATAAAAATTAAAAAAAAAATTAGGGTTCTATTCTATGAGAGGTTGAATAACCCCACTCATATTTCACAACAGTAAATGTCAAACTATCATGGACGAATCTCTTTTTTCTTTGGACGTTTTGATTAAAAAAAATTTACATTTAAAATAAGTTAATTTAAATAGGCACGCAATACTTCATGCCTTGAAGTGGAATCAAATATTGTGAGGACCAAAAAAAACCACATTTTTTGTTCGTAGAATCAATTTTGGTATGGACCCAGGAAAAGTGCATGTTATTTTTTAATCCTACATCCATCTACTGAGCTTAATTCCAGGCATATCCATCCCACCTGCTCAGCTCTCATCTTTGAGAGAGATTTAGATTTTGTTTGGGAGTTAGTTTTTGGAGAGGAAGAAAGGGAAGGGGAGAGTTTTATTAATTCCTCCCCTTGTTTGTGAGTTTAAAAACATAGAAAAAGGGAATCGGGAATTTTTGTAAAATACTCCAAAACCCTTTCCACCCTCAAAATTAAAGTTCTCTCAAATTGGAGGGTTTAAGGAGAAAAATATTGAAAACTACTTATCTAACCTTAGTATTAAAATGTGAAAACTACATAAATATAAATCATTTTTAAATGTGACATTATTATAAAAGTCTTAAATACCGATAGAATTTATCGATGAAAAATATTTCGTCGAACATAGTGACGAAATTAGAGATGAAACAAGATTTCGCCATAATTACTAACATAATTTTTTTCAAAAAAAAATTTAGTCAAAATTCTTGATATAATCTAAATTTCGTTGAAACTTTCAACTGAAATATTTCCATCAAACTTTTCAAGGAAAAATATTTCCATCGAATTTTCGACATAAAAGAATTTTCTAAAAATTTTTGTCGAAAAACATTTTCGTCAAATTTTTTTACGAAAAATATTTTTGTCAAAATTTTCAATGAAAAACATTTCTATCAAAATTTTCAACGGAACACATTTCCAGTGAAAATTTTTCACGAAAAATATTTTTGTAAAAAATTCTGACAGAAAATTTTTTGTGTCATAATTTTTTATGGAATCTAAATTTCGTCAAAATATTTGACAAAAAAAATATTCGTCGAAATTTTCGACGAAGAATATTTCTCTCCAGATTTTTAAAGAAACACATTTCCATTGAAAATTTTCGTAGAAGGTTTTGACGAAAAATATTTTGTAAAAAACTTTGACGGAAAAAAATTCGTAAAAATTCTTTGCAGAATCTAAATTCCGTCAAATGTTTTCGACGAAAATATTTTCCTCATAATTTTTTACGAAAAAAAATTTTCGTCAAAATTTTCAACAAAACACATTTCTATCAAAAAAAATTGATGAAAATATTTCCTGCAGAATTTTCAATAAAAAACATTTCTATCAAAAATTTCAAAGCAACACATTTTCGTCCAAAATTTTCAACGGAAAATATTTCCATAAAAAAATTCAACGGAAAATATTTTCGTAAAAAAAGTTCATTATTCGACACTTCTTTAAATTTGATTTCAAAACTTCAAGGAGTCTTCTCATAATGACAAAATTATCATTCATGAGTGGCTTGGTGAAGATTTTTGAAACTTGTTCTTAAAACTTCGCAGATTATGGATGTACGTCTTCTTTTTTTCACTGTATATTTGCATTACCTTATATAATGATGTTGTGTATGAATGTCCTTCTATCATGAAAGACAGACTTCTTTGCTAATGCTATTACAAATTTATTAATGTTATAAATATCGGTTGGATATTCTTTATGTCTATACAAATTCTTAGAAGATTTCCACGTCAAACAACATTACAAAAACATTGTATAGCTTTGACACAACCGGCTTCATAAGTGAAATGGGTTGCAATAGGTTGTTTCTTTGGAATCGATGTCAACGCAGTGTCTCTAATGAATAACACATATCCGGTGGTGCAGTGGCGGTATGACTGACTAATGAATAAGCCATTAAATTTTCTTAAGAAATAAATTTAATGAAAATCCAAGGCAAAATGTAAAAGATAATGTATCATTATACAATATTGATTAATACAATTTGAATATACTTATGATAAAATATAACAGCTATTTTTTTAAAAAAAAAAAAATTACATACTATGATGACAACTCAGATATCTCGGATTCCTAATTTAATGAAATAATTTATACTTATCTGTTAAAATTAAAATTTTTATGCATATTCAACTCCTTCAACAAGTTCACAAGGCAAACAACATAATAGACACATGATATAGCTGCGGCATAACCAATTTCATCAGTGAAAAGGGTAGGAATGCACAGTTTCTTTGAAATCAAAGTCAACACAGTGTCTCCCATGAAGAACACATACTCAGCGTTGTAATGGAGATATAACAAGCTAATTAATAAACGATTTAATTTTCTTAAGAAATAAATTTAAGAGTAAAGACTCTTTTTGATCCCTAACAAAAAACACGGTCACCACTTTAGTCCCTTACAAAAATAAATTAGTTAGTTAGTCCCTAACAAATTCAAGGTGGACCCATTTTAGTCCTTTTGAGGGACTAATATGGTTCTTTTTTGAATTTGTGAGGGACCACGATTTCAACTAAATGGGTCCACTTTGAATTTGTTAGGGACTAACTGACTAATTTATTTTTGTAAGGGACTAAAGTGGGGACCGTGTTTTTTGTTAAGGACTAAAAAGGGTATTTATTCTAAATTTAATTAAAATCTAAGGCAAAATGTAAAATATCGTGTATCATTAACAACATTGACGAAAATAATTTGGATTTATGTATATGTTCAAATGTAACATTTTTTTTATAAAAAAAACAATTACATACAATGATGACAACTCAGATATCTCGAATTCTTTATTTAATGAAATAATTTATACCCATCAATTGAAATTAAATTATTTATGCATATTCAACTCCTTCTGCAAGTTATTAAGTCAAACAATATGACAGACACATGATATAGCGCATAACCGACTTCATAAATGAAAAAGGTAGCAATAGGTGGTTCCTTTGAAATTGAAGTCAAGACACTGTCTTCCATGAAGAACACATACAAGTGGTGCAATGACGATATTACTTGCTAATTAATAAACCTTTAATTTTTCTTAAAAAATAAAGAGTAAATACCCTTTTTGGTCCTCAACAAATTTCACGATGCCCGCTTTAGTCCCTAGCAAATAAAAAGGCCCATCGTGGTCCTTAAGAAATTCAAAATGGACCCATTTAGTTCAAATTGTGGTCCCTCACAAATTCAAAAAAAAAAACTCATATTAAACCCTAAAAGGACTAAAATGGGTCCATTTTGAATTTCTTAGGGACCACGATGAGCCTTTTTATTTTCTAGGGACTAAAGCGGGTATCGTGAAATTTGCTGAGGACCAAAAATGATATTTACT